CTAATCTGAACCAGTTTTTCTAACTGACGTGTTCCTTTGAAGAGTATTTGAAAATAATCACCCTTTACAACCCTTTGATTTTCCTTTGCTCCTACTTGAGAGAAATAGGACAATCTGAAAAAAACTTGGATAAAAATGACGTACTCTCCCTTAAAATAGAGAAATTTGCTGGTCTGAAAAATCTGTGAAATCTGCATTTAAAGTGCAAAAGACTGAGCATTTTACCCTGCACTGTACCCACACAGTCTAAATTTGCATATATACGTATTCATGAATGACATCACTTTTGCTTAAAACCCTAAAATCCATGATTTGTGATATTTATGAAAAAGAATAATTCCCGTATTTAAACGCGCGTATGAAAACATATTATCAACATAAAATACCAAATATAGTTTTACAAATAGTTTTTAAACAATTTATCTAAACTTTGAGTGCAAGAAAAAAGTGTTTTAAATTTGCTTTTTTGGATTATACTAGTAGACTAGTAGACTAGTAGACTAGTAGACTAGTAGACTAGTAGACTAGTAAACTAGTACACTTTAGACTAGAAGACTATTAGGCTAGTAAACTAGTAGAATAGTTGAAAAAGAGAATAGAGACTAGTAGACCAATAGACTAGTAGACTAGTAGACTAGTAGACTAATAGACTTTAGTAAACTAGTAGACTAGTAGACTAGTAGACTAGTAGACTTTACTAGACTAGTAGACTGTAGTAGACTAGTAGACCAAGTTGTAGACTAGTAAAATAGTAGAATTGTAGAATAGTAGACTAGTAGAATAGTAGAATAGTAGACGAGTAGACAGGTAGAATAGTAGACTAGTAGACTAGTAGACTAGTAGACTAGTAGACTAGTAGAATATTAGACTAGTAGACTAGTAGACTAGTAGAATAGTAGACTAGTAGAATAGTAGACTTGTAGGATAGTAGACTAGTAGACTAGTACACTAGTAAAATAGTTGACTAGTAGACTAGTAGAATAGTAGACTAGTAGAATAGTAGACTATAGTAGACTAGTAGACTAGTAGACTAGTAGACTAGTAGACTAGTAGACTAGTAGAATTGTAGACTAGTAGAATAGTAGAATAGTAGAATAGTAGAGAGTAAAATAGTAAAATAGTAGAATAGTAGACTAGTAGACTAGTAGACTAGTAGACTAGTAGACTAGTAGACTAGTAGACTAGTAGACTAGTAGACTAGTAGACTAGTAGACTAGTAGACTAGTATAGTAGACTAGTAGACTAGTAGACTAGTAGACTAGTAGACTAGTAGACTAGTAGACTAGTAGACTAGTAGACTAGTAGACTAGTAGACTAGTAGAATAGTATACTAGTAGACTAGTAGACTAGTAGACTAGTAGACTAGTAGACTAGTAGACTAGTAGACTAGTAGAATAGTAGACAAGTAGACTAGTAAACTAGTAGACTAGTAGACTAGTAGACTAGTAGAATAGTAGAATAGCAGACTGAAAAAGAATGCATATGCCTGCTGGTTTTCACAGCTTGAGATCTATACTTGATTTAATCTGTGAGTAAACATTCATGCATTCATTCACCTAGTTTTATATTAATTCATTCATTCATTCATCCATGCTTTCTTTTTTCAATAATCTTTTCAGTAGTTATTAATTCACTCGTCCTTCCTTTCTTTTCCTAAAGGGACTGTAAGCGTAATGTCAAGTGACCTTCCATGCAAAGGGGGCAATGCCCGATTTACAATGGTACCCTTGAACCTTTGACTGTTTTTTAGAGTAGAGAGAGATCTGTGTGTAAATCTGTTTAATAACAGTTGAATTGTTCCAAAACCCGGTGTACGCTGTGTACAGTGTACACTGTACACTGTACAGTGTGAACTTAAAACAGCTGATCCTTTAATTACTAGCGTCATTTAAAAAATATAGTCTTCTTTCCATTAAAGGCGGTTTTCAAACATTCGAAAGTAAATGTAAATTTTTTTCACTTCTAGAAAGTAACGGTTGATATTTCTTAAATGTATGACCTAGCTTGCAAACAATGCATTTAACTATTAAAAGCAGATTATTAAGGATATGTCTGACATCCTTATTCAGTCAAGGGTACCGTTGTGAAACGAAGCTTCGGAAGGAAGGTCAATTGATCCTTTCATAATATTTGCATCTAATTGGAATGATAAAATAGTAATAATTTATTACTCTTCAAAGATTCGATGGGGGGGGGGGGCTGGCTATAGAGAATGAGAGGAGGAAGGTTAAAATTTGGGGAAGGAAGGCACAGCCGGGCGGGGGGAGGCTTTGAATAATTTGATATTTTTGGGGATTTTTTGGATTTTACCGGGAAACTAAATTTTCGCTATTAAAGTCGACCCACTCAATTTTGAATCTAAAAATCTAATTGAACATTCCCGTGGGCCTCCCGAGTTCCCCAATCAAAATCGTTCTAGGGGTTACTGAGTTATGATTGGACAATGCGCCTTTAACATTTTTACCAATATGACTTTTATTGCATATACTTTGCAACATTTCTTAATAAAAACTAGAAATAAAGACGATTAGAATTCCATGTTTTTCTGGTTATCACTCTACTGTGTTAAAAACTTAGAATTTTGGTACTTCGGCAATCTTATTCTCTTTTGGTACTTCGGCAATCCAACCTTCTGGTAATAATCAAACTTTCTATATATTGGCAAAAATATGATCATCGTGCTTTTAAAGAACAATTCAATATATTTTGCAATTACTTTTCTCTGTTTAGGGAGTGTAAACGTAATTTCTAGTGACCTCCCATTGAAAAAGGTGGGATTTACAATCAACAATGCTAGGTAATAATGCAAGGAAAGTTAATTGCTTTTACGTATTCTCTGCGTACATAATGAAATCAGTTCTCTCAGAGCAGTGTTTGTAAACAAGAATAGATTCATTAGTTACTCTAGTATCCCAGGAGGAAAACAGTTTTTAATTTTGATAATTCACATAATAGTTTCCTATGACCAGAAAATTTCATTGATTTTTTTATGTGAAAGATGGATCCCATGTCAGGCTGTGACATCCGTCTTGTGTTTACATTACATTACAATCCTTTCTCTTTATTTTTATTCCCTGAATATAATTCTTTGCAACGACGGAACCAACGAAACTTTAAAAAGTTTTGTCTGATCTTTTTCTGGTTTCTCTGGCAAATGAGCATTTCTTGCTTCAGAAACAATGGGAAATTTATCAGAATTTAACACTTTTCAAGCCTGAATTAGAACGAATTACTTCACATTATTGAACAGAAAAGGTTTTAAGGTAACAGTCGTGACATGCATTTCCTCTCTTCAAATTACTACGCAAACCTGAACTTTTCTGTGTATATTTAGATATCCCATATACGCCGTTAACAAGGGATATTTAGATAGACCACTTGAGCTCCGATATCCCATATACGCCGTTAACAAGGGATATTTAGATAGACCACTTGAGCTCCGATATCCCATATACGCCGTTAACAAGGGATATTTAGATAGACCACTTGAGCTCCGATATCCCATATACGCCGTTAACTAGGGATAACCATCGATCCATGACTTATGAGTTTATTTTTCCAAAGAACATGCTCAAACCTAGTAGTGGTTTTTATTACGGAATAATTTAATCCATTATTGAAGAATTCAAATTGATCAATTTGGATCATATTAGTCACACTGCACCTTAAAGTGTTTTTGTTTTGAATAAAAATATATTTCGTGGTGAGGAGTGTATCAATTATTTATAAATCACGCGCAGGAATATTGACCACGGTAAAGCTTCGATTTTAAGGAGGATTACGCCCTGCATGGAACAAAATATTTTAACCCCCAAGGACAAATTCCTGCTTGCGTCCGGCCCTGAGCAGTACGTTGGTTCTACCTTAAATACTTACAGTTTGGCATACAAATCCGTCTGATAATTTCAGATTGACGAAAGGTCAAAGAAAGGTAAAAAAGGTCCTGACGATACTTCAAAACCATCCCGGTCTTACAAGTTAACGTTAACCTTTATAACTGTGTAAACAACTATGTTTTCTGTGAAAGTGCAGGTGGGACCATTTGGCACATGCCATCAGACCGCCATGTTTAGGGGG